CGGCAAACACCACCTAGTTTATTAGACAATAATTTGTCCAAACAGTTATTTTTCGAATTTAAGAATACAATTATTTGTCCAAACAGTTATTTTCTCAGAATTTAAGAATACAATTATTTGTCATAGCCTATAGTACTTTTTTTAAAAAATCCAACAATCAATTAAACATGTTTACTTATTTTTTTTAATAGTTTATTTTAAGTATTTTGTTTTTGTTAGTTTAATTCAATCTAATTATATATTATTTTATTTCATTTTATAAATTCCATCTGATCTTCTAAGTATGTGATTAAAACGGCTTGATGCCCATAGTATTTCCACTATATGCCCATAGTTTATTTTTTAACACTGTAATGTATTTCCACTGTATATCCATGAGTATTTTTTGTAATACTGTAATGTATTTTCACTATATGCCCATAGTTTTTTTTTTTTTTAACACTGTCATGAACATCCATTGTTATGTAACTTAAATATTTTTTTTTATTTTCTTATGATAATTAATTACATTTGTTACAGATCATAATTTAGTTTGTTATATATGCTTTTGCATATCTGCCAAGGTTGAAGACACTTTAGTTTATTAAATTATATAATATATATTGATTTTCATTTCATCTTTCATTCATTAATTATTAATTACTGGTACGTATAAATAATTAATTTAGATTTATAAAATTATTGTGAATGCCTGTGCGTATGTGGCTATTAAAAACAATTATCGAACAATTGTTCTCGAGACCGAAAGGACACATTCTATGTATCATGGTGTTTGAATTATTAATGGAGGTCATGCTTATCTCGAGTAACATTGCATACATAAATCAAATTTATATTTAAAAATATATAGTTCATCACCGGAAGCATATTATAATATCAAATATATTTAAAATAATTTCGAAGTGTCATTGCTTGCAGGCTTATCCTCACTAGTCACCAGCCTTCCTCGTAGCTTGTTGATTTGCGTTTAATACTCAAAATAATCAAGAGTCAACGGCACAAGGCCGGTTATCAGAAAATGTCCTATCCTGTATCTTGATTTTTACAGAGATGACGATAGGGAAGGGCTTTGCTTGAGAAGCTCATTTAATTACAGTAAATCTCTTGAATTATGGTGAAATTAAGATATTATCTAACCGTTTGATTTCAATATATTATTTAATAAAAAAATCTCTTTGAACAGTATCCCATAATTCAATATCGATCTAATTGAATAAATCTAAGAAAAAAAATAGAGAATTCGTCAATATTCTAATGATTTTATATTCAATGTAATTAAATAAAAATACATAAAATGCACAGTACAATACTTTTTTTTTTAATATTTTGATTAAAAACCAATATCAAACATATATATATATATATATATATATATATATATATATTTTCTAA